ATATATACACACACAAATTGTAATGGCTAAACGATTGGGTCGGAGCAACTCCAAAACTGCAGCTCTTGTCGGACGATTCCAGTCTGTATTGATCAGGACCGAGCAATGTGGTCCAAAGAAGGAAAACTGGCAACAGGATCCTGGGCTGCCAAGGCTCCCTGATGCAGGTGGGGAGCGTTGGCTGGTTCATGTAGTCCGATGCCATAGAAGAGCTACTGTAGCTCACATTGCTGAAATAGTTCATGCTGGTTCTGATGAAAGGTGTCGGAACACACAGTGCATCACAGTCTGTTGTGTTTGGGGCTGTGTACCTACAGAGCGGTCAGGGTGCCCATGCTGACCCATGTCCGCAGCCAAGAATGCCTACAATGGGCATGCAAGTATCAGAACTGGGACCAGTCATCTGGTCTGATGAATCACATTCCTTTTACATGATGTGGATGGCTGGGTGTGTGTATGTCGCTTTCCAGGGGGAAGAGCTGGCATCAGGATGCAGTATGGGAGGAAGTCAAGCCATCGGAGGCAGTGTGATGTGCTGGGCAATGTTCTGCTGGGAAACCTTGGTTCTGCAATTCATGTGGATATTACTTTTAAAATACCACCAACCTAAACATCACTCTTTTGGCAGGATAATGTGCACTGCCATACTGCAAAAAAGGTTCAAGAATGGTTTGAGGAACACAAGGAGTTTGAGGTGTTGACCTCCAAATTCTCCAGATCTCAGCCCAATAGCTCATCTGTGGGATATGCTGGAAAAACAAATCTGATCCATGGAGGCCCCACTTCTCAACTTACAGGACTTAAAGAATCTGCTACTGACGGCTTTGTGCCAGATATCACAGCATACCTCCAGAGGTCTACTGGAGTCCATGTCCCGACAGGTCAGGGCTGTTTTTCAAAAAAAGATGTTGTTTTGGTGGCATAAAGGGGACCTACTCAATATTAGGTAGCTGATCAGCCTGTGATGAATGTATCTACAATACTGTGCAAAAGTTATAGACAGAAATGTTGTCAAGTAAGAAATCTTTCGAAAATATCTATTTTAATTATTTTTATCAATTTACAAAATGAAAAGTGAGCGAACAGAAGAAAAATCTAAATCAAATCAATACTTGGTGTGACTACCCTTTGGCTTCTCACTGAGCCTGGGATTCTTAGAGGTGGCAAAATGGGGACAGCAGCATGTGTAATGTGACAGATTGAAGGTACTAATAGCGGCGGGCATAGCATGCTGTGGCACACTGGGAGAGTGATGAGCCTCTGGGGGGTTTTTAATAGTAATATGTTACATTGAACAAAGAGCGATGACCTGACAATATGTGGGCAACAAACAGGCAATTGCCACAATACATGGGCAACAAGAAATCATTATGATAAGCAGACAACAAACAGGCAATTCTTACCAAACGTGTGGAACATGGAATTTGCTTTAATTCTTGAGCAACAAACAGGCAATTGTTACAACGTGCAGGCAACAAATAGGCAATTGTTACAATTTGTGGGCAACAAACAGGCAATTGTTACAATGTGCAGGCAATTGTTACAATACATGGGCAGCAAATGGGCAATTGTTACAATGCATTGGTAGCAAATAGGCAATTGTTACAATATGTGGGCAACAAATAGGCAATCTTTACAAAACATGTTCAACAGGTAAACAATACAACTAGACAGTTATTACAATATGTGGGCATCATGCAATTGGTACAATATGCAGACAATCATTGCAATACTTGGGAATCAAACAGACAGTTGTTACCATAAGTGGGCAACAGGCAATTGTTACAATAAATAAGCAACAAATAGGCAAATGTTACAATACCTGAGCAACAAGCAGACAATTGTTACAACACATGAGCAACTAACAGGCAATTGTGTTACAAGATGTGGGCAACAAACAGGCAATTGTTGCAATACATGGTCAACAAACAGGCAATTGTTGCAATAATGGTCAACAAACAATCATTAAAATATATGGTCAACAAATAGGCAATTGTTACAATATGTGGGTAACAAACATATAATTGTTATTATACATGGTCAACAAATTGTCAATCATTACAATACATGTGTAACAAATAGGCAGTCATTACAATACATGAGCAGGAAACATGCAAGTGCAATACATGGGCAACAAACAGGCAATTATTACAACATGAGGGCAACAAACAGTCAGTTGTTACAATATGAGGGCAACAAACCGGTAATTGTTACAACATGAGGTCCGCAAACAGACAGTTGTTACAATACGAGGGCAACAAACAGGCAATTGTTACAACATGAGGGGAACAAACAGACAGATGTTACAACATGAGGGCAACAAAAAGACAGTTGTTAATTTATGAGGGCAATAAGCAGGCAATTCTTACAACATGAGGGGAACAAACAGTTGTTACAACATGAGGGGAACAAACAGTTGTTACAATATGAGGGCAACCAACAGGTAATTATTACAACATGAGGGCAACAAACAGACAGTTGTTACAATATGAGGGAAACAAACAGGTAATTATTACAACATGAGGGCAACAAACAGACAGTTGTTACGATATGAGGGCAACAAACAGGCAATTGTTACAACATGAGGAAAACAAACAGACAGTGGTTACAATGTGAGGGCAACAAACAAACAGTTGTTACAACATGAGGGTAACAGACAGTTTTTACAATATGAGGGCAACAAACAAACAGTTGTTATAATATGAGGGCAACAAACAGACAGTTTTTACAATATGAGGGCAACAAACAGACAGTTTTTACAATATGAGGGCAACAGACAGTTGTTACAATATGAGGGCAACAAACAGACAGTTGTTACAATTTTTAGGCAACAACCTTGCAATCAGTACAATACATGGGCAA